GGAATTCTGTAAGAATAAAGTGCTTTTCTAGACTCAGTTCTGGCCCTGCTGGAATCAGGGCTGAGTTCTGCCCTGTAATGTGTGTCAGAGATCTGCCTTGAAATGCTGAGGGTCCAAAGGCAGGGAGTAGATGTGTGGAGGAGGAGGGTGGGAGGACAGAGCTGTGAGGAGCCCATACCTGGGCTGGCCTCAGACGTTCAGCCAGGGCTCCGTGGGGTCAGCAGGGCTGCTGGAGAAGACAAACTTGCAAAGATTTTCTTGATTTCTTCCAGATCTCTGAGCTAAAGACATTAAATGAAGGCATTATGATGACATGGAGAGAAGCTCTCTGAAGTAGAAAAGCTGCCTGTGATGAGTTCTGAAGCACTGAGTGGAGCTCTGCAGAGTTTGTAATCGAGTGTCCCGGGTCACAGAGCTATTCCAAGACCACAGATAGCCTTAATTTCCCAAGGTAATCCTTTTGTCTTCCAGAGACCCTCAGACACACGCAGACATGAAGAATCTTTGAAGCCAGGCAGGGTAGAAAGGGCCTGTCAATAATCTAATTGGTCAGACAAGCAGAGTTTCTTTTCAGGAGGCTCATTCGTAGCCCCTGTCAGCCCTTCAGAGGAGGGTTTGGTGTGAAGGGGACCCAGATATCTGCAGACACCACGTTGTCAGTGATCTGCTTAGGCTCCTCAGGTGCCCTGCTGTGGTGACTGCTGGTGTCCTCCTTCAGGGACCCAGAGGAAAGGGGCATTTTGTGGGGCCTTTCTTTTATATTTTTAAGGCTGGTTTCACAGTGCTGGGCTGTGGTTATGCAAGTGGTGGAGCTGGCAAAAGATCAGGCGTGGTGACGTCTCTGGGTGCTGGAAGAAGCCAAAGGAATGGTTGGAGCAAGTGCTGCTGCTGCAGGAACAGCAATGTGGGCTGGGGTAAAAAAAGCACCACGGTCCCGGGGGCTGGATCACGAGCTGGTACCTGGGAGTGCAGCCCAGGGACAGCTCCTGACCCATTTCCTTCAGCTTCCCAAAGGTGTCTTCGCTTACCAGTGGTGTTACAGGGGAGGTTTGTCTCCCCTGAGCTGTGCTCAGCACTGGTGTGATGGGGAAGAACAGTCACCACAGCATCGTAGAATGGTTTGGGTTGGAAGGGACCTAAAAGAGCTTCTAGTTCCAACCCCCACTAGACCACACCTCCCACCAGAGCAGGCTGCACAAGGCCCCCATCCAACCCAGCCTTGAACACATCCAGGAATGGAGCATCCATAAATTCCCTGAGCAGCCTGTGCCAGGGTCTCCCCACCCTCACAGTGAAGATCTTCCTTACATCCCATCTAAATCTCCCCTCTTCTGCTTTGCAGCCATCACCCCTCGTCCTGTCACTACAAGCCCTTGGAAGAAGTCCCTCCCCAGCTTTCTTGTAGGCCCCCTTCAGGTACTGGAAGGCTGCCAGAAGATCCCCCCAGAGCCTTCTCCCCTCCAGGCTCAGCAGCCCCAACTCTCTCCTGCTGGCCTCACAGCAGAGGGCTTCCAGCCCTCCTTCTCTTACTTTATTCATTGTTAATGATTATTTCCTGAAACCACCTTTGATCCCCATGCCCACACCACACCACCATCTCCTTGTGGTCCCTCATTGCCCCTGACCTGTGGCACACACAGCCCCAGGAGCCAACTGGCTCTTCCTGCACGGGGCTCCTTCCCTCAGAACCTGGTTTGTTCTCCTTTCTTCAGCCTTCTGCCCATGCAGCAGAGCCCCAGGCTTGGAGTGAGGGTGAGAGTGTCTGGGGAAGAGTTCAGTCTGAGACATGAAACGGGAGCCAGAAACGAAAGGCTGTGCTCCAGTTCCCAGAGAGTTGAGTGACTTTGCTGCTTTTTGAAGTGCAAACATCTCCTGATGAGGATTTAGAGTTATCTTGTACTCTCTGAAGATGCTGGAAGCGTTTTGGGGGAGAATGGAGATGAATCCTCACTCCCTGTGGGGAGCAGGGAACATATGACAGTGAAAGTGAAATCAAGCAGGAATTTAAACTGTGCCAAAATAAGCTGAGCTCCTTCTTTGGCAACTGATGCTCTAAATAAAAGAAATTCAGTAAATCCCATTTCTTTGTGGAGATCATGAGGGATTTGGGCATCATGGCCAGAACAGGGCTGTGAGGGGTTGGGGCTCCTTGGGGGATTGTGATGGATTGGCTGATCCTGAGGAGAGATGCTGAAGGGAGGAGTGACAAGAGGAAATAGTGAGCAAGAGGAAGACCACTGAAAGAGTTTCTTAGGATAGTCTGAACCCTGTCTTGTTTTGGTATAATTAATAACTTTTCTAAAAGTTGAAGTCTGTTGGGGAAGCTAACTGGAAAAATGTAATTAATAGAGCTCAGAGAGAAAAATCAGGGTAACAAAAGCATGAGGGGTAGGAGTGGGATGAGGATGAGTAATACAAAGTGCAGGGCTCTATATTTAGCAAAAAGCATTTGAAGGGGAATGTTCTTATTAATCTACATGTCAGTAGTGAAACCTCATCTGAATACAGTGCATGGTTTTGGTCACCCACAGGACTCCTGTGAAGTGCAGCAGATACAGAGAGGGGATGTCAGGGGATGGTTGGAACCATTGAGGGTGGGGCTGAGGGACCCTGAGCAGTGCCAGCGAGACTTGGAGGGGTCAGAAAATGCAGCTGAGGCAGGGATTGATCACTGTCTGTGAAAGGTAACTTAGAATCACAGAATTCTTTAGATCAGAAGAGACCTTTCAGATGGAGTCCAACCACCCCCCAGCCCTGCCAGGTCCCCACTGCCCTGTGTCCCTCACCCCACATCTCCACGGCTTGGAAACCCCTCCAGGGGTGGGGACTCCACCACTGCCCTGGGCAGCCTGGCACAGGCCTCCACAGCCCTCCAGGGCAAGAAATTGTTCCTCAGGGGCAACTGAAACCTCCCCTGGGGCAACTTGAGGCCATTTCATCAACTTACTGTGGTTTTGTGGGACAAGGCTGCAGACCAGGTCAGTCTTTAATAGTTTATCAGGTTTTGTTACATGCAGTATCTCAATTCACCAGTTTTGCAAAGACCTGTGTCAAAATATTTTGTGTTTTGGTTGGGATGATGTAGAAGGTCCATGAGAAACGTGCTGTGAGGGGAGGGTTTCATTTCAGCAAGTATTTACAAGGACTTGAGCCCCCAGACCTGTTGGGACAGGAGGCTGTTCCTGGAGGTTCTAGTTCTGCCTTTGATTTCTAGTGTCCTTCTGCCCATTCTGTTATTGGGAAACCAAAGAGACTTTTCAGCCCCACAGAAGGCCACTCACAGTTTAACACTTCAGTGAGTTTAGTGGTGTGTTCTAAGGTTTCTATTTGTTAGGAGTTCAGCTCTAGGTTTGCTGATGTTCCAGCTCAGAGTGTCTAGTAGGTTGGGGGATTTTCAGTACTTTCCAATTCTGCTCTATCCCTACGTGTCTCTTGCTGTCCTGTTCACACTGGAGGAGTTTCTTCACTTCAGTACATCATCAAACATTGGAATGATGGCTGATGAGCATGGCTGTGGAACACAAAACAATCAAAAAACCCCAAACCTGCAAAATGCAAACTGCTGCTTGTGCAGCTGTGTGATGTCCCTGCCTGTGACCAGCCTGGACTGCATCCAGCAGAGCTGTGGGGATCTGATCATGCTGAGCAAGAGCTAAAGGGCCCCGGGGGGCAAGAGGCTGGGGCCAGACTCTGCTCAGTGGTGCCCAGCCACAGGCCAAGGGGCAACGGGCACCAACTGGAACCCAGGAGGTGCCACCTGAGCAGGAGGAGAAACTTCTTTGGTGGGAGGGTGCAGAGCCTGGAGCAGCTGCCCAGAGAGGCTGTGGAGTCTCCTGCTCTGGAGAGATCCCAAACGTGGCTGGTGTGACCCTGGGCACCCTGCTGGGGGTGAGCTGCTGGAGCAGGGGTGGGATGAGGTGATCCCCAGAGGTCCCTTCCAACCCCTTCATGCTGGGGCTCTGTGTATGAACGTGCTCTCTCATTTTAGTTCAGGCTCCTTGCAGTTCAATGTCTCTCATGCATTTGTGGTGTCCATTGTTGGTATCCTGCAGCTATAATCAAAGTTGTGTTGGTTTTCCAGTGCTCCTGATTCTGTTCACCCAGTGTAAGTGATGTGTACAAGCTGCCTGGCAGCTCTGCCAGTGTGCTCTGCTCAGAACTGTGAAGGAGGAACAAACAGTGAAGGTGGAAGAATAACTCTGTGCCTTCCTTTTCCAGCTAGTTGTGTCCCATCAACATGTTCTGGAAGTTCGATTTGAACACAACATCACACGTGGACAAGCTGCTGGATAAGGAAGATGTGACACTGCACGAGCTGATGGATGAAGATGACATCTTACAGGAGTGCAAGGCTCAGAACCGCAAGCTGCTGGATTTCCTCTGCCAGCAGCACTGCATGGAGCAGCTGGTCACCCTCATCACCCACGAGCCCCCCCTGGACATGGACGAGAAGGTTCGCTTCAAGTAGGTATTGGGTGGCTGTGCTGCCTGGGGAGCACTGCCCAGGGGGGGCTGCAGTGCCCAGGGGGGGCTGCAGTGCCCAGGGGGGGCTGCAGTGCCCTGGGGTGAGCTGGGGGAGACCTTCCCAGCCCTGAGAGACAGGCTTTCCAGTACTGGGGAACAGCTCACAGCATTGTGTTTGTAATGCACTTCCAGAAGCTTCTTTCTTTAGTTTTAAGGGTTTCACGTTGAGTTTGTCTAAAAAACTCCACCCAGGACTCTTGCTGTTTTTTCAAAGCTTTGCAGGGGAAATAATCAGTATGTGAAAAGCACCTTTAGTGCATTTTGATTGGAACTGGAAGGAGCCTTCTGCTCAGTTACCCACTTCTGAACTTGAGTGGTTTTCAGCAGCCAAGCCCACAAAAGAAAGGGAGCTGTGCAGTGAGTGAAAGCTGGAATAATTTCAGTGTGCAGCTTCCAGTGTGCAAAACCTGCTGGTTTTGATGGTGGTGTAGTCAGGGTGAGGATCTGGCTCTGCTGGTGAGCCCTTCAGCCCTGCCTGGTTCTCACAGCCAGGGGTTAGACACTCACACTAAATGGATGCTTCAAAATGTTTACGTTTGCATTTGGGAAGTTTGTTTTGCTTTTAAGTTTATGTAAAAATGAAAGGCTGCTCTGTGTATAAATAAACAAGTAAACCCAGGCACTTTGGTCACTGTGGGAAGGGATCAGAGCTGGTTGGTGGTGCATGGAATCCCCAGAGGAGGTGGCAGTGTAGCTGAGGTTTATTTTTAGGTGAGGCAGTCACCTAACCAGAGCTATCAGCTGCTTCCAGGAAATCCGTTCTGTGGTGAGGTGGAATTTCTGTGGCTGCCTTTGCACAGCTTCTGCTGCCAGGGGGGAGTTGCCAGCAGGAGCCAGCAGTGGCACTGTCCTGCTCCTGTCCCACAAGTGCAGGGGTTGTGCAGGGGCTCCGAGACCCGGCGTGTGGAGCACAACAGGGCAGGGACCTCACCTGTGTGCTGGTGTGCAGCAGGTCCTACAGCCAGGGCCTGGCTCCTCCTGGGGCTGGCTCTGCATCTCCTGCCACCCACCCTTGGTCCCAGGGCAGCTGTGGCCCAGCCTGTGGTGAGCTCCCCCCAGAACGTGTGGGTGAAGCTCCCCTGAGTGCCCAGAGGGGGTGAGCAGAGGGGGTGCTGGGCAGTGCAAGGTGTTGGGCCCCTTGGTGGGATCTGGCTGGATTTTGCCAGAGCAGAAGCCAAGGGGTTCCAGTGCCATGCCATGCCTCTGGTGTCCCTGCAGAGCACACACTGCTCCCTCAGCCAGGGTATGCAGCTCTGGTTCTTCATGGGGGGTTGGACTAGATGAAAAAGGACATTGAGGTTCTGGAGAGGGTGCAAAGAAGAGCAACAAAGCTGCTGAAGGGTTTTGAGGATTATGAGGAGCTCCTGAGGGAGCTGGGGTTGTTTAGCCTGGAGAAGAGGAGGATGAGGGGTGACTTCATCCCTGTACAACTCCCTGACAGGAGGTTGTAGGGAGGTGGGTGGTGGCCTCTCCTTACATGCCACAGCTGACAGGACAAGAGGAGATGCTGTTGTTATGCCAGGGGGGGTGT